AAAAGAAAAAAAGATATAACCCATATGAGTATAGAGTGAGGTTGGGAGGTGTCTATATAGAGAGAGACAACTTTGAAATCCAGGTGCCATGTCCACAAACTGGTTGGAAAAGTACAGATATTGTTTCCCTATGATTCTTTAGCTCTGTTTTTAATTCTAGCATAGGATTCATCACTGTTATTTGTAATCTTATCACTTCAACTATGTTATGAAGTCCTACAGAAAAAGGTTATGTGTTTCATCTTTGACTTTATCACTATGAATTCCTTAGGGATTACTCCTTGAAATGAAAATTAAACAGCACCAGTTAGCAAAGTCATCACTTAGGTGTGCTTAGATTTGGGTTTTCATTGTATCACTTAATAAAACCTTTAAATTGTTGACCATGGCATTTATTAACTTAGACCTAAACAGCCTGAATCCTTTGGAAGTAATTTCCCTTCAGTTAAAATCTGCTCATTTCATATGTATCTAAAGTAATTGACTCTTTTATTAAACTTTAATTGTATTTTGTGCATTTATAACCATGTGAATAATCAGGGTTTAGAAATATACATTGTTAAGTGATTCAGTAATTGATTGATACATATTAGTAAAATGCTCTCAGATTTCAACACTTTAAAAAATGTTTATTATTTTACATCACATTGACAATTTTAGACTAATAAAAACATTTTTATTTTGAGAATTAAAAATATTTTAAAAGGTCTTCTCATCTAAGAAAACACAAAGTTCCTTACTGCGTGGTAAATCCCCACACACTACTGAGAAGGAAAAGTGAGGGTAGGAGATTCAGATATATTAGATCTTGACAGAAATTGTTATAATTCAGAATACTTGTAAAAATATATCTATATTTTTAAAGATCTTACTTATTTATTCATGAAAGACCCAGAGAGAGAGACAGAGACAGAGACATAGGCAGAGAGAAGCAGGCTCCCTGCAGGGAGCCTGATGTGGGACTCAATCCCAGGACCTCAGGATCATAATCTGGAGCCAAAGGCAGAGACTCAACCACTGAGCCACCCAGGCATCTCTAAAATATATTTTGAATTAAAAAAGAGTAGTTCTGGAGACATACAAACTTCTTTAAAAAACTTCTGGTAGGATTTTATAACATTTTATAATTTAGTATAACACTTGATCACCCTAACCAAGACAGGCTGAGAAGCAGAATTCTCCCTCCCTCATTAGTATTTTGCTTTCTTGGCATCTCTTGAATGTCTTAGAGCACAGACTGAAGTGCATGACATCACACTATTGATCAGCAACAACAGCCTTGCACTACTCTGGAAACCAGTGTAAGAACATCTGCCTGAAGAACCTGTCCACATTTCTAAATGTAAATTTTACAGAAGAGCAAACACGGTATTCACACTACATCATCTGACACGTTGCCTATGGCACAGCAGTTAGAAAACGCCAGTGCTTGCTGCATCTTGCTAAGCTGTCCATTAATTTGTTTTGTTGATTTTTGCTATGAGAGGACAAGAAAGATGGGACCCACAGGATCTGCTCTAATGTTCTTTTATATTTGTAAATAAAATGTTTGGGAATGGCCCTTGAACAGAATAATAAATGCTTTTATGATACTGTTTTGTACAACTAGGTGTCACACATGATATAGCTTAGATAGCAGCTTACCACTTTTATGCTCACCTGCCATAAATTGCATGAATTCTTGGACAACACATGATCTTTATTGCTTTTAGACTCTTCTGAATTCTGGTAAGATCCTTTGTTTAGCTAAAATTAATAACACTTGAGAATAATATCTCTTTTTCAAATATAACTTCAATGTGCTATGTTAGAATAAAATTCAGCTTAAATATTATGTGAGTCACTTATCAAGTCATTTAAAAATTCAAGAGTTTAACTTTATTTGAGTATACGCTTTAGGTACTTTAAATATTATATGTGAATCATTGTTCCAAAAAAAGCATTCTCATCTTTCTCTCCAAGGTATTAATCCTCAGAAACTGTAAGATATTGGTGTCTAATTTTTCTTTCCTGGAAGAGGAAATGAGTATTTTCAGATACATAGATATATACATAGATACAAAAAGGCACATATAGTATATGTATGTGCATACATATTTGTATATATGCATAAATATGAAGCAAACCTTTTGTAGGTTATTTTGCTTAAAATGTTTGTCTTACTGATTTTAATTTTTCATGTTAATCTTAATGAGATAATTACATGTAAGAGAAAAACAAATATCCATAAAGGACATATTAGAATTAGCTTCTCAGCATTGTGACAGAACTCTAAATTCCTTATGACAGAGAGTAAAAGAGCTCCTCTGGACAGCTTATACAGTAATCCCGAGTAATGGGTTTGTTATTTTATGAGGCTGAACGTCTAGGTCACCACAGATTTTAGAAGGGATTGTGACAGATAACACCAGGCTCTTTAAAAAGTAGCCACATTGTTCTACTTTACAGACCTTATTTTACATGACATGGGTACAATTTTTGGTCATGAATTGATACTTTTAACTATTTTGATGCTGCCGTGTCCTCGTCAACACCAATGTTATCTTCAAAAATAGAGGACTAAAATGTTTAAAATACATGAAATACTTCTGTACATTTTTCTCCACCTAGAATACTGGTCAGTGACTGATAGTGCTTTTAGGACGGCATTGCAAGTCATGAATGAATTAAGACTTCCCTTCAGCAAAATCCTTCATTTGCAGTTAAAGCATGTGCCATAACATAGCAAGCATTGAACATAGATCAAGCAAATCAAAATTGTACCCTGGTCAAAAACAAGGGAAATATCCAGTTCCTGCCCACTCTGGCCATCCTCTCCCACCTAAGGTGGAGAGGACTGACAAGCACATGTGAAGTCCACCTGTTAAGTCCAAAACTGAGACCCTACCAGAGGACTAGACAACACTTCTCCCCCCACCCCTCATCACCGTGCCACTAAGGGGCTTGTTATAGCAGTTCCTTTTAGCCAACACATCATGTCTAAACAAAAAATCACAAGAAAGGAGAAGAAAATAGAACCATATAAAATGCACAATTAAAATAATAAAATGCAGAAAAAGAGAAGACAAAATAGAAACAAAGAACAAACAAAACGGTTAGAAATATGGTAAATATTAATATAACTATATCAGTGATCACTTTGAACATAAATGGTCTAAAAAGACAGAGATTGTCAGAGTGGATCCAAAAACAAGATCCAACTACATATTTTCAGAAAGAAACCCGCCTTAAATATAAATACAAAGATTAACAGTATATGGATATAGAAAAATATACCATGCTAACATGAATCAAAAAATATAATTTAAAAATTAATTAAAAATATACCACACTAACATTAATTTTAAAAGGGGGGTAGCTATTTTGATTTCAGACAAAGAAGACTTCAAAGCAAGGAAGGTAGTCAGGGATAAAGAATGTCATTACATATTGATAACTTGTTGGTCAATCCTACAAGAAGGCATAACAATCTATAGTGTGTGTACACTGAACAACAGAACATCAAATGATGTGAAACAAAAATTGATAGAACTACAAAAAGAAATAGATGTATCCACTCTCATAGCTGGAGTTTTCAATAGCCCTCTTTCACACATGGACAGATCCAGCGGGCTGAAAATCAGTAAGGACATTGTTGAACTCAATAGCACCATCAGTTGACTGGATATAATGGACATCTGTAGATAATGTTAACAAACAATAGAACACATTCTTCCAACTCACGGGGAACGTTCACCAAGATACACCACATTCTAGGCCATGAAATATACCTACACAAATTCAGAAGAATAGAAATCCTACAACATCTGCAGTCAGACCACAATGGAATTAAACTGGAACTTAATGATGGCAACATAGCTGGAAAATCCCCAAATGTGTGCAAATTAGACAATGCACTTTTAATCAGCTCATGGATCAGAGAAGCCTCAAAAGAGATTTTTATTTATTTTTTTAAAGATTTTATTTATTCATGAGAGAGACAAAGAGAGGCAGAGACACAGGCAGAGGGAGAAGCAGGCTCCACAAAGGGAGCCTGATGTGGGACTTGATCCCGGGACTGCAGGATCATGCCCTGAGCCAAAGGCAGACATTCAACCACTGAACCACCCAGGCATTCCTCAAGAGAGATTTTTAAATAGTTGTAGTAAGTTAAAATGAGAACGAACCTGTCAGATCTTTTATGTTAGAAGAAATCACATTCAGCATGTTGAGAAGTAGGTTTTTAAAAATTTACTCTTGAATGTTGTTATTGCAGTGTGTTTACAGAGTAGTTGAGAGAATTGGCATTTGCCCGTTTCTCCGGACTGTGGAGAAAATGAAAAGGTGACAAATGGTAGCAGAACAACTTGTGCCCATAGACAATTTAGGGCTAGAATAAGTAAGTTTATTAAATATTTATTAATTGCCAAATGAATAAAGAGTTGCTGACCTGGGCACATGAATCAGGGATGGGCCTTGGTGAGGGAGCGGGGTGAGGTCGGCGCGGGTACATGGGTTTATGAACACTATGTGGGAAGCAGGTCCATTGCTTATATTTATGACCTCAACTTTTTGAGTCACTTTTTCTGCCAGTGTCAGTTGTGTTGTGACTATGGTCCCCGCCAGGACCTTGCTCAATGGGTGGGAGTTAGGAGGGAAGAGAGAGATGAAATCCAATGAGTATTTAACAATGATTTATTGAGAATCTTCTGTGTGCCACACCTGCTACCATTGGCAGAAAATACAATTTTCATAAAAACACAGAGGCCTTGCTTCCCTGGAGTTATTCTACATAATATTTAGACTATTTCAAAATCCAGCAAACAAGGACCAAAAACTGAGGGCAGAAGAGAAGATGTGTTTATTTCGGTCTGTATTGTTTCTGGCTACAGTTAATTGGAAAATCATACAAATATTCAGTGGGAAGTGGTTTAGGAGAGTAATAACTGATCATTTTGTTTCAGCACTCTACAGTATCCAGCGTATACTGTACACTAAGTGAAAAATGTTTTTCTTTCAAGGTAACTGAACTGCACAACATCAAAAATATAACCAGACTGCCTCGAGAGACAAAGAAGCATGCAGTGGCAATTATCTTTCATGATGAAACGTCAAAGACATTTGCCTGTGAGTCAGGTAAGCAATTATAGCCTCGTCTACAGCTTCTGGAAATTGAACTGCTTCAGAGACAATGGCCCAGATGGATTAAGTTATACCACTGAATAGGAAGGTTTATTGTGATAAGACTGTGATGTAGAAGACTTTAGGAAGAAGCTCAACCTATTGATCCCTACAGATGTTTTGGGTGCTTGTTTATTATCTGTCTGTGTCTGGATTTTGCTCCCAGGTGGTCTGAGGACTCTTGAGGTTTCTATTCAAGCTTGAAGAATTAAGTAAACAGTGCCTGGGAGATGTTGTTAGGGCAAGCTTGTGACTTGTCTTCTGATTCTTGCCGGGTGCAGCTGTAGGCATTTGGTGGGAAAATAATAACACTGCCATGCGACAGTGTGGCAGAGCACAGCTGAAGTCCCCAGACATTCCAGAACGGAACTTTGAGCAATTGGCTGCTTTCATGGATTCTCAGTACTACAAGTAAATACATTTCAGATTGAATTTTAGCATCCCAGCTCATAAAGCACGCTGACATCGTTGAGATGCACAGCAGTTTATAGTTTGAACCTGCAGTATTTTTCATTTTGAAATCCCTCTGCTATGTAATGTATTAGTTGGCTTATTATAGCTTTTTAAAGATTTTTCTCAATGAAATGGTGCATTCGTTTTATAATGGATGGAAGCAAAAAGCACTAAGGGATCGAAAGATGGGAATTTAAAATAATAGTGAAGTCTTTAGTAGAAGCCTTGCTGAGTACTTTTTTTTTAAAAAAAGAGGAAATAAAGCTTCTGGATTTATAGTTAAAGTTTACAGGTGTAATTAATATCAGGTTCTATTATTCTAAAATTGATCATGTCAACTTGCCCAAACAAAATTATTCACATCTCCTCACCTATGCTTTTCTTAGTTTTGCTAAACTAAATGGGAATTTATCAATGTGTAATTCCTTGGATCCCCATAATCCCTTTTGCCATATTTCTCTTCCATCATCATCTGGCCTCATTTCATCGTTTAAAATTGACTTTTGGCATTGCATAGTAGTCTGTTAACTTGTGATATCAATTCCATTTTGCAATAGAGCCTGTCCCAACCTTGCTGGCATCCTATAACATCCAAAAGTATTTGTGTCTTCTTGTTCACTGTCTTAAAGGTGTCTCACCACTTCACTCTTCTCTGAACTCTTAGATAATGTCTCCTATTAAAACTAACAACCATAAAATTGGTTTTCCAAAAAAGATAAAAGATAATTTTCACTATTGTTTGTGTGCTTCAATTTTCACTACTGCCTTAGAGTTTTGAAATTACACTGAGCCATGTTGTAGGTACATAGGCAATACTGGAGTCTGTTATTTCAGATAAGAATGATACTGAATTATGTTTCTGAAATTCAGATGCAGAGTTGTCACCCACAAGTCTAATGTTGGAAGCTTTTTAAGATTATTTTTATTTCCTTTGTGATGGTGGTTGTTTCATGGGTCATGCATTTTTGAGAGACAAATACTCTTGCTTAAAACAAAATGGGCTTAATTTCCAAGAGAAGAATTTCCAGACAGTGAGGCTGAAGCTAGAACCAAATGTAAAAATAAAAGAACATTTTTATTTGAATTGCTGGCAAAGAGTTTTCAACTCATTTAAATTTATGGCTTATTTAAATTATTTGTTTTTTAAATCACTTTTTTTGTGTGTAGATATAGCAGTCTACTTGAAACTAGTATAAACGTGTTTAAGAAACTATGGCATGGTTTTATTAAATTTTCTTAACTTCATGACACATGACAATGGAAAAAAGAAAGGAAGAAAAAAATCACATAAACAGGGAATTTGAGTACTTTTTCTAGCAAATTATATTTTTTTGGATCGTTAAGATCAATAGTCCATGTCTGCTGATAAGATGGCAAAATCATTTGGAAAAAAGACTCCAGCTATAAAGCAGTCACAGATGTGAAAATCAAAACAGCAATATGGTTAAAGCCAAAATTAAAAGGAGCTCTCACATTTTATTTCTAATGTGAATGCAGGTAAACAGGGATTCTTATGAGGGCTAGTGAGAAGGTGAATTGCTTCAATTTTTGTTTCAAGAAAACAGGCAACTGGTATGAAATAAGTATACATACCCTTGACTCAGTGAGCATCTTTGGGAACATATCCTGTAGAAACATACATACCAGTACATGAGGTCATGGGTTTAAGCAAATTATGTGTAATGACAGCACAATTGGCAACCAATAAATGGCTGTCAAGAAAATATTTGAACAAAAAAAATAAATAAATAAAAAATAAAAATAAAAAAAAGAAAATATTTGAACAAATGATCATATATCCTTATCATGAAATGTTACATAATCACTAGAAAGAACTCTAAGCCAATTAACTGGAAGACATTTCTATGAATTTTAGTACTTCAAGCAAAACCAACCAGCAGAGAAGTATATACTGAAGAGTCACCTTTATAAAAGTAACGAGATAGTGTGTGTTTTACCAAGAGTTACCTGGGGTGAGAGGGAGTAATAATGAAGTGGATGGAAAAGAAAGCTGGGGGAAAAGTGCAATCGCAAAAAAGGAAAAGAAAATAAAATGAACAGAAGAAAATACCCAGCATATAAACTACCCCACTTATATGAAATTATGTATATGTGACCATGTGAATGAATGCATACAATTTTTTAAAGTTAGTCATCAGAGAAGTGCAGATTAAAACCATAATAAGATATCATGGTGCACCTATCAGAATGGCTAAAAATGTTTAAAACATAACACCGCCAAATGTTTGTGAGGTTGCAGAGAAACTAGATTATTCACACGTTGCTGGCAGGAACGTAAAATGGTATAGACACTTTGGAAAGTGGTTAGCAGCTTCTTATAAAATTAAACGTCATTATTACATGATCCAGCAATTGCATTCTTGGACATTTATCTCAGGAAAAAAATGGAAATTTATGTCCATACACACATATACATGTGTATTCACAATACCATTGCTCAAAATAGCCAAAAACTGAAAAGAACCCAGATGTCTTTTGACAAACCGTGGTCATCCCCTCACACCATGAAATACTCCTTAGCAATAAAAAGGAACAAACTCTGATATAAAAGCAGCAACCTGAATGAATCTTGACTGAATTATGCCAAGGGAGAACAAGTCGATCCCAAAAGGTTATGTATTTTGTGATTCCATTTATGTAACATCTGTGAAATGACAAATTTTAGAAATGGAGGACAGGTTAGTTGTCAGAGGTTAGGAACGAGATTGGGGGTATGGAGCCCCAGAGGGATGTATGTCATAAAAGTTACATGGACTTGCATGGGCACTGAGCGGTTATCTTGATTGTAACGGCATAAACAGGCCTACACAGGCAGCAAACTGTATAGAATTTACAGGTACAAGTAAGTACAAGCAAAACCGGGGAAATCTGAATAAAATCAGTACACTACCAATGTCAATATCTTGGTTGTGATATTATACGATAATTTTGCAAAATATCACTATTGGAGGAAAGTGGGCAAAGTTTACACAATCTCTCTGTAATATTTTTATTACTACGTGTGAATCTACAATTATCTCAAAAAACTTCGCAATGACAAATGTATCTATACTATCTCTAAGGTCACCAGTGATGTATTTTTTTAAGTTAAAAGAGAGTATGGAGGGACTTGCAAGGTAAAAAAAAATTATTTAGTATAGTCTAATATGGTAAAAAGAAACAGAGAACAGTAAGGACAGATGACAAAAATAATCCTAGATGTGTGCCTCGGTAGCTGGTATATGTTTTATGAGCACAAAGAAACGTAGGCAAGGGTACATATGTGTGTGTTGCTCCTTCTAACATGTACTCCTTGCATAAGACCCCCCACCCCACCCCGCTCTGCCCCCTGCACACACTCATCTCCCAGCCACCTCCACACTGGCTTCCACTTTGGCACCAGTATGTCATGCCTCTTGCCCCCTCGTCTTACTTAATACTACTCTGCTCTCCACATCCACAGCGCCCTGATTTTGGACTTCACATACTCCCTTCACAATCTCTCTGTGAAGACATAACCATATTTTCTTTCTCATCTCAGTATATCCAGCAACACAGTGCTGATAAGATTTGTTGAATTAATGGAGTAATAAATGAGTAAAAATTTGTATTTGAGTTTTGTTATAATGACATATTTATCATTTTAGCTTTTTCTAAGAGATAATTTTTTAAAAACAAGTTTTAGAGGCTAATTTGGCAGTTCCATGGGGAAAATTGTTTAAATTGCCAAATAACAGATTGTTGTGTGTTATGGTGTGCAGGAGAGTAAATGATCATTGTGCTGTGTGTGTGTATGTGTGTGTATGTGTGTGTGTGTAAATTGCCATGGCCCACCAGGTCAGCTGCAATAATCCTATGAGTAGAATATGTTGGAATGCAAATAAGAATTTCTGGAGTTTGCCTATTACTTGAAAAGAGATCTGTTGATCCTTCTTTTTGAATATGTTCTAATCTCAAGTCGATGCCTAGAAAATGAAGGAGCAGATGGTTTAGATGTTGGAAACCTAGAATCTAGCTAATAGATTCTGTTTACCCTCATTAAGGAAAAGAGAAAAAAGGAAAAAGAGTTCAACTATGTCTGTCTAAGAATACCTTCCAAATAATGCAGGTCTGGTTCCAGACCACCACAATAAAGTGAGTATTATAATAAAGTGAGTCAAATAAATTTTTTCAGGTTCCCAGTGTAAATAAAAGTTATGTTTATACTACACTGTAGTCTATTAATTGTGCAATAGCATTATGGCTAAAACAATGTATATAGCTTCATTTAAAAATATTGTATTGCCAAAAAATGCTGACCACCATCTGAACTTTCAGCGAGTCATAATCTTTTTGCTGTTGGAGCATCTAGCCTCAGCATCAGCTGATCAGGGTGACGGTGGTGGTTGATGAAGTTTGGAATGCCTGTGGCAAGTTTCTTGAAATAAGACAATGAAATTTGCCACATCGATGGACTCCTCCTTTCATGAACAATTTCTCTGCAGCATGCAGTGCTGTTTGAT